GCCGAAGGCTCGAGGAAATTTTTAAATTTAGATTCTCTGAAATGCCATTTCCTGGACTTTGGGGAAGTTTTGACAGATTCTGATGGTCAGAAAACGGAGTTTTAGTATGATATTTGTGACGTTACTCCAGAGCTCTGGCGTTACTCTGAGTATGCATCCACAGCGGGCAAGCTGAAAAGTTTGCTTGGCCACGGTGGGAGTCGAACCCGCGACCTTTGGGATACTAGTCCAATGTTCTGCCAACTGAGCTACGTGGTCAAGTCGGTTCGACTAGTTGTTAATAGAGTTTTAGTATGTCGAAATTTACAATTTGCTTACAATTTAGTAGAACTAAATGGGCGAAGGCGTATTTAATTAACTATATATTGCAGGAAAGAGTATATAGTTAATATGATTCTTTGCGGTTTGTCATGGATAATGTAGCCGCTTAATAAAATTATTTTCCGGATAGCAAACACCTTCGTGGCTTCGTATGCCATGAAATATTCGGAAATTTTCTTCGTCATTCGGAAATTTTTGGCCTACACCCCCCTCCCCCTCCCCCCCCCCCCCCCCCAGCTATACATGCTAGCTACGGCCTTGCATGTTGATTTGAGTCAGGAGAAAATTTGGGGTTGGGGGTTGTAGGCTGTAACGTTTCTTTAATATGTAAAACATATGGTGGAAAATTCGTTCAAAAGTCTTGACATTTCGGAATCATCTTGGCAAATCTAAAATAAGACAACTTGACACGTAAAAATCACCGGTTCATTTTTTCGATACGATCCGTTTGCCCTTTATACTGTATTTGATTGATAGGGATACAAGCACAACATTTTTATTGAATTATATTCAAACTTATATTTACAAAGTATATTTACTTACTAATATAACATCTGGAAAAGCTCTTTTCTGACAATATCTTATGAATACACCGAAAAAGAAACAATAAACGTGAAAGGACGGCTGTCGATAGTGGTTGGGGTGACTTCATGAATAAAACCATTGACATAAAACCGTTGGCATATTAGTCTAAATTCGTCCAGTGAACGCATGCATAGACGAGAGTCGTGAAAAACTGCTATGAAAAACGCGTAACAGTCAAATTATTGATTTAGTAGGGAGCCACTTTAACTTAAAATAGTTTTACTTCCTGTTTTGAAAAGATGACGTAATGACGGAAGTCGTGAGGTTAAATGAAAACAAAATTTGTAAACCACAAAAATGACAAAATATGGTAGAAAATATAAAATATTTGCTTAATTTACAGTAAACGTTTTATCGGGGATATTAAATAAAATGGCGACAGCTGAGACAGAGAAAAAAGCCACAGAAGTTCTTATTAAATCACATTATGATCAAGCAACGAGGTTTGTTTGTCGATATTTGTGACATATATATGTAATTTTATATATTTATTTTTACTGTATTTGAGGAAATAATGCTATATAGCACAATAAAACAACAATTGTCTATTAGTTGTCTTGTGTATTTGGTTGTTTTTAAATAGATTGCCAGAATCAGAATGTAATATTTGGTCTTTTATATTTATTCCTTCCATTCTTCCATTTTAATTATCATAGATTAAGACCTAGCTAAGATAATTTACTGACAGTCCAGCTGTGTCTGTGATAAAACAACACTGACAATGAATATTTGGCATGCTGTTCATGTTCAAATGAGGCATTAAATTATAGTAACCTTTCATTTCAAATCCTCATGAACATCCATATAACCACATGAGCATGTCAGAAATATTTGCATGATAGTGGTCATTCCATGTAACCTCTATGCTGAAGATACACCAATATTAAAGATGATGTCTACTCCTGTGCGCATGTGTGAACTTTGTTTACGTTTTGAACTGCTATTTGTAAAAGATGACATACTAAACTGAATATCTAACACTTTTCTGGTTTGCTATGCTTGTAAATGAATATAAACTCTACATTTCAATTCAAAAAAGTTTGAAAGATGCAAAATTTGGGCAATGTTTATATATATGGGTCCCCCTTTGTTATGAGCAGAACTGATATGTGCAGAATGGATCCGGAGTGGAAATCATCTTTAACTAATGTATATTAGATAGTATTGTATTTGCCAAACTCATGCCGAAGATGTTCAACAATAATAGTTTATTTGTACCTTAATACATTTTACATGGTAAAATTACAATTAATATTAAAAATAATATAAATAATAGGCACAGGCTTCGGGAAATAACCTTAAGGGAAAGCATATTTATTAGGGACGGACCATTAGATATTTGAGGGGGGGGGGCAATTTTTCTGTGCACAAATTTTTTTTCATCCCCCAGTTGCTTGCAAGAATTTTTTTTTCAACAACATTCCTTTGCATGATATTTTTTTTAGGTGACCTAAAAAATGTTTCCCGGAAAAAGGGGGGGGGGGGAGGAAGGCATAAATTTTTCCGACTGTCGTAAAAACACCGTTTTAATGTTTTAGAATAATTACATTACGATTTTAAAAATCAGCCCTAGTTCTTGCTCGATTTTTTTCGATAGGTTTGTTGTGCACGATATTTTTTTTCTGGATTTTTTCTGTGTGTGAATTTTTTTTTGGTATTTCTCAAATATCTAATGGTCCGGCCCCTTATGCCAGGGGGCAGGAAGATGTCGTAAGGAGGGGCACCTAAATATTTTCTGGCATTAGAGGGGGCTCTTGAAAGTCTCTTCTACTATACTGAGGGGGGGGGGGGGGGGGAGGCTCTAAACTTTTCAAAGTTTTGGTCTAGCAGGGGCCTGGAGTGTTCACTCCCACCATAGTTTATAATAGAATAGATGGTTTGGAAACTCATTAGAATAACATTCATAGATCTGGTCTTTTACCATCACATGAGTATTGTATTTTTGCCCGACTAACCAAAAGCAATGTTTTAGGGAAGTTACCTATCCATGACTCAAACAATAGGGTAAATTGAAAATTGCTATTGGTGGACATGGCAAAAATATAATACATATGTGACGGTGAAAGAATATATTTATGAATAAACGTTGACTACGACATAGATAATGAGTTATATTGCTATTGTAATGATTTCCAAACTGTCTATTCTATATTAACTGACATGGGGGAGCTCCACATGGAATACGTAAAGGAAGGCTGCAACACGCCTGTCAAACATGCATGCAAAAGCACCAATATGCTTCAACTTCTGAAATTTTCATTCTGTTTCGACCAAATTTTCCATGAATATAGAACATATCGTTCTTACAAATCGTTTTTGTTTTGTTTTTGGAATTGCTACTTTTTGGCTGGTAAATTACGTCACAAACGTGGCACCAAAAAAATTAAAATGAGTTATTGATGATTTTACTGAATCCATTTGTAGAGCAGACCAAGGGTACTTTAATTAACTAAACTGAAATCTGTTTCTAAATACAACCATTTTATGGTAAGATATAGCGATACAAATGTCGAAAAATCCGCCATATTGTCACTAAAAATAGAACAAAATGGCGGATTTTTAGAAATTCAAGTCATATCTTCGCAAGGAATGGTTGTCAGGGACGTAGCAACTGGGGGTTGTGGGAGGAGGGTGTAAAACTCCCCCTACTGTGAAATTCAGACAGAAATCATGTAAAATTCAAGTTAAAATTTTGACATTTTCAGGTAAAATTTGCGTAATAAAGTAATTATTTTTGTGAAATGATAACCATTTTTGTAAAATACAGTCAATTTACATGCAATTTGTTTGCGAAATTTGCTTTAGAAAACGCCAGAAATTCAGTCCTAGAGCTTCAAAAATGTAAAAATTTTCTGGGGGAGGATCCCCAGACCTCCCTTTTCTCCCAAAACTTAGTATGAGAGTGCCAATCAATCACAAAAAGCTTTATTATAATTATTACACGTATAATCCTCTGACATCCCCCACCCCCCAAACGTCAGATGCTTTGCTACGTCCCTGATGGTTGTATTCGAAACCGATTTCAGTTTTAAGATATCCTTAGTCTGCTCTTCTAAATGGATACATGAAATCATCTATAGCTTATTTTAAATTTTTTGGCGCCAGGTTTGTGAAGTAATTTACCTGCCAAAAAGTAGCAGTTCCAAAAACAAAAAAGCATACGATTTGTAAGAATGATATGTTCTATGTTTATGGGATATTTAGTACAAACGGGATGAAAATTAAAGAAATTGAAGCATACTGGCACTTTTGCATGCATTTTTGACAGGCATGCAAAGACATTTGCAACAGATGCCGGTAGATACGTTGGGTGGGGGCGACATTCTGTAAGGTTCCAGCACATTACCCTGATCCAGGAAATCCTGGCCACTACATGAACGTGTTCAAGACTCCGAATACGCTGAATGATGGACAACAACAACCTGTTGATAATTTCACCCCTAGAGCCAATTTAAAATGTTTTAAAGACGGTGCCATTTCATCTGGCGCTAGTGAGGTGAAAGAAGCAGCAGATCGGTAGTTTTGTTGAGGAGAAGCACATGCTTGAGTATATCAGACATCTTGAGGAACTGCAAATTGTATCTATGATAAGAGAGAATTCCGGATTGTACTCCTTCGATTCCGAATTCTAGAGGGGGGGGGCATTGAAAATTTTAAAAACTTGGAGGGGGGGCATCGAAATTTACCGATAACCTCAACAGGGGCCCTGTAAAAATATGAGCTTTTTTCAAGACATCTTCATCCCCCTCCCTCGGTGTAATAAATGTACTTTCCTCTAAGAGGCTAAAAATGCCAGGAAGCCCACTTTGCAGACATTTTGATATTCGGATTATTATAAGGTCGAGCATATTTCACTTAAAATGCACCCTGGATCCATGTTTGAGATCGATCTCAAACAGTCATGTGCCAGTGTAAGTAGTTACGATAAAGTGGAACATTGAAGTTCTGCTTGTATTTTTCAGGTAGTTGTATCTCTTTCCGTCTGCAGCTTTCGTGTCACTTACGCATGGTCACCACATAATGGCAATTTATTCCCATACAAATACATGTTCACAAAATACTTGTCATTGGCCATTAATTAATTGGCATGCAAGATTACAAAATAGGTGTTAGAATGTACTTGTTAAGCTGATCACTAGGAATAAAGGTGTGTTTACACACTGGAAGTGGTTCAAGGCTATAGCCAAATGTTATTGACTAATGCGTAGAGTTTCAGTCAATGATTTTCACACTGCACTATAGCTAGCTGTTACATATAATTGAACCCTCCCTTCGATATTAAATCTTGTTCTCACAGAGTTGTATGTTGAATTAATTATGATGTTTGTAATCAATGCCGCAAAATAAGCTTTTAATACACCTTTTCAATAATTATGTCATGACTATACTTCCTTGCCTTGCAAACTTGCTTTCATATGAATCATGATAATGAGGCTTCCAGGTAGGTCTTGGGGAGATGTGTGACATATATAATCATTGGTGAATTGTGTCATTCTTTTCACATCTTCTATTGAGACATTCAAAGACTGGATTGATATTCAAGTTGTCTAAGCTGGGATTATCTCGGGGATTATGTAGGGCTGTTCAATCCATGTAGCTGATATGCTGAAAATGCTGGTATTTAATCCAATATCGATGTATATGCATGAGTTTTTCAGTCATACTGAAATACCAATTAACATTTCTGGTATACAGGAATCATTGATCCTGATCTTGTATTAACTGTTTTACTTGCATGGAATATTGTCGATGCCATATTGTTTTTACTTTTCAAAATCAGGAATTTAAGAGTTTTCATGTTGAACAAACTATATGCCAAAAAACAGTTATGGCAATATTATCTCGATATTTCTTCCTGTATACTGGTGCCATCCTCGGTCCCAGGGCCTCACGGCTGACACTCCGGCAACGCAGTGTCAGCCGTGAGGCCCTGGGACCGAGGATGTACTGGTGCCAGAAACTAATTCAAATACTGAATACTGGGCCCCAGGCCTAGGGCGCGAAATAACGGTCGGTCAACGGACAATGTCCGGCCAGAATGCGGAGTTGTCCGGTCAAATTCTTACCTTGCCGGTCATTTTGACCGATCACTTTCGGTAAAAGAACAAACTAATCTTCATTATATAATAATAATCAAAATAAAGTGGTCAAGTACAGTATTATAATTAAGAACCATAACATGCATGTTGTCGAGTATTTTGCAGGAAAACAACTCAATGTACACCAGTTTTCGCACGCAGTACGTCACAAAGCCCATGGGCCATGGCCACGCCTTTGGCTTAAGAGCTAAGACCATGCTTTTAGCACAGTACAAGCTGTTTTATGTGTTTTATGTGAAGGAATTTTTAATTACTGATTACAGTAAGGCTTTTTGTACTGCTATACTGGGAAAATGGTCACATTTTTAGGGGTATACTTTACTTTGCTTTAAGCTGAATAATTTGACCGGCCAGAACCTCGGTATGTCCGAGCTAAAATTGAGTTGGACCCCAATTTCTACTCAAACATTCTTTAATTTTGCCACAAATTTTTTATTACTAATTAAGACTATGTGCACACGGTAACGTTTCCGAGCGTTTCTAAAACGTCGTTTCCAATTTTGTCAGTTTGACGCTCTGTCCACACGGAAACGTTTTCACGAGATGCAAATGTATGTCTCGATAAAAATTCCATCTCTAGCGGCTTGTTATCACCATTCATTTTCCACCAGATAAAGTCATTACTTGTCAACGAGTTTCTTAAAATGTTCTCTGCTCATCATAAAGTAAACAGTTCTATATGTACTGTTTAGCGTCACCGATACGAAGTCTGTCGCTTCTTCGAAAGCAAACCGCATTTTAAATCGTTCATAAATCATTATACATTTGAAAGGCTATATATTTTGTTTTATTTGTTGCTAAAGTTTTTAACTTAAGAATTAATGATCCAATGAAAGATCTTAAGCTTCCAGGAAACAAAAATATAACATTTTGATTTTAAGCCGCCATCTTGGATTTTTAGCGTTTCAACGTGAAAACGCTTGTCCAAAAACGTTTTTAGCATTGAGAACGTTTTCGTCATAAGATGACGTTTTCATCCGTTTTCGTGTGGACACGGCTTGAAAACGACACTTTTTGAAAACGTTACAGCTGAAAACGCTCGAAAACGTTACCGTGTGCACATAGTCTAAGGTGGCTCCCTAGGGTTTTATTTCCGGGGGTTACGTTCTTCGTATATATGTAAACTAAAACTCGTGTGATTTCAAAATACGAACGAACGTTGCATCTACTCTGTGGTTGTGTTTTATATGGAACTCTTTTTTGAAACAAAAATGCGAACTTTACTTTAGTTGAAAGCACAAAAGAGTTCTAAAAGCCAAAACGATACTTGGATGTGATGTTTCAAAAGAAGATAATGTAAACTTGTTTTTTTTCAAGCGGTATTCTGGATGTTTTTTGAACCGCCGTACGCGAGGTTCGATCGTGAACATTGGGATATAAAGTTTCCTCAAGAATTTGCAGTGTTTTCTCCACAATCTAGCAGCACTTATGACAATAAAGATGACTTAAATAATGAGCCCTCTACGGGTGAAATGAGCAGGGCCGAAACTCCAAACATACCGCTATAAAAACTGAAATTTGAATGGGCATTTTGCGAAAACATCCGACGATAGTACTCGCACGGGACGAATTTTGACAAACATTTTTCAAATTAATACCAAGAAGTCATAACCAGTAATTACCTAAATATCTTTGCCATTTTTACATGTATAATCCACGCTTAGTTGACCATTAACCGACACAGTTATAAACAGTATATCGAACATAATTTATATTTTGTTATTTCGAAAAAGTCATGCCTTGTTGTTTTATGCAGAATGCATGTACTGTACATGTCAGTTGGGGTATTAAATTGTTCGCGTAAAAATCCGTAAAAATTGCCAAAATTAAACCCAAATTTCTCTGTTTTCCTTCGGTAAAATTTTTTAAAACTTTGCACATTTTTTAATATTGGCACAACAAATGCAATATCCTTTTTTCTTAAAATTAAATCGAAGGGAAAATTCAGTTTAATATTGATTTTTGACTTTTTAAAATTTTCTAAGAAACGTATCGATTTAATTTTTTTAAATTGAGGGGAAAAAATCATTATACAAGTATTATCTTTTATGCAAAGTTTTAAAAAATTTCACCGAAGGAACTTTTTAAAATGACCTGAAAAAGACAATTTTTGATCTTTATTCTAAGCATGCTGTTGCCATGACAACATATTTTTAACACAAAAGTAGCAATTCGCAATGTTCAGGAGAACATTGTCAATGTGTCCAATAAATTTCGTCTTCATATCATGTAAAGTAAAGAAACAGGCGTCTCCTGAATACTATAGTGTAGTAAATTAAAAAACCCTAGGGAGCCACCTTAAAGTCAATCTTAAGGCCCGTTTACATGGGCGATTTTTGCTGCGATTTTAGTTGCGATTTTCTCCTTTTAGAGGATGTAAAGGAGTGGATGAGTTATAAATGTTCCAGGTTATGAAATCTCATAACAACATCATTAAGTAATCGACTCCTTCAGATCCTCCAAAAGGCGAAAATCGCAGCAAAAATCGCACGTGTATAAACGGGCATTTACATTCTATTATCTCTAATTCTTAGTGCGAGTAGTCAGGATTAATTAAGTACGTTGTTAAAAAAATTGCTTTCAAAAACTTGTTCACTCTAAAACTTCCATTCATATCATGTGTGTGAGTTCACCAAAACTGCAGAAAATCTCGCATCTGTTTTGTATTAAAATGGAATTTCAAGTGAAAACCTTGAACTGAGAACAATTGCGTAAAATACAACTATTGGCCATCTAACAAGAATCAAACTTGCAGTTCCGCGATCTGGTGTAGAGCAGGCAGTAAATCAAGAGCACAATACATCCAAATTACAGCCAAAAATTAGGGAGGTGAAGTGCATTTTCCCTATTCCCGCGCCTCGCCTGTCTCGCAGCCCGCGCCTCAATTCTCCAACCCCTCCGGCATGCAACGCATTCCCCGCCGGCAACGCATGCTATATTCTTGTGGATAGTCCAAAACGATTTAGGTTTGCTATGTGGACGCGGATTTTCTTTATAAACACAAAAAAATCCGTTTTCAAGCTAATCCATATTGTATGTACGAGGCGTACGTGATTGTATTTTGGAACTGAATGAGTAAATGGCGCCATAAATTCAGTTAGTGAACTAACATTGACGCACTGCCTTGTGATTTGTTAGGAACGTAGGTAAAGCAATAACGTCCGATGAAAACAGTGATAAGGAAAAAGCAAGTACTTATTATAATAAAGGTTAGTTCTGGAATAATATTGCTTTAGAGTATGTCGGCTATGTAGCGTGTTAATACCACACGCTATAGAAAGCTGTTATAGTATATAACTGTAGATTCTTGCTAGATCATGATCAGTTACTCCATATAGTGGCATGCAGGCCTGGCAAGCTTTTTATATTCAGCCGGATCGGATATACTTTAATTTGTTATTAATCGGACATTTTGATATACGGTATTATTATACTGTATATCAAAATGTCCGATTAATAACAAATTAAAGTATATCCGATCCGGCTGAATATAAAAAGCTTGCCAGGCCTGCATGCCACTATATGGAGTAACTGATCATGATCTAGTAAATAGAAATGTCAATAGAAATGAAAGTCCCAAAGGACTTTAAACCGTCATGTCCTCAATACAGCCACATATCGGCCATTATTCCCTGAAAGTGGGTCTTTAGCGTACATGTCACTCTATTTTGTATGTAAAAAGACCATGCTTACGAGCATAAATGCGTATATTGCAACTAGTTATTCTAGATCTGATGATTTTGCATCAAAATCGAATAAAAAAAACTCATATATGTCTTGTTTTTATCCTTATCCTGGTTTTGAAGAGGCTAATCTCCGTCCGGATTGTGTTTTGTTCTAGATTTTTTTTTAATTTTCGCTTTTAGTTTCCAATACTCACAATAGTCAATATCAATAAGTTTAGTTTAGTTTATATGGATTTTGCCGTCTCAAAATGAGTATCGATCTGCAATTTATTTCAGCTTTGCGAAGTATAGATGTTGGTCTAGCTATGAAGATTTCTGAAAATTCTCGTGATGCTGAAAAGACAAAACAACTTCATGAAAAACTCAAAAAGTAGGTAGAACATGTTATTCGAAGTTCTGTCATTGCATAGTTAATTGAGGAGATGGTTTGGAAACTTATTAGCATTACAATAAACCACTATGTTTTTGTTCAGGTTTATGCAAAAATGTGGTCTTTTATCGTCACGTGCGTATTGTATTTTTGCTCAACCAGCCAATAGCGACGGTTTTGTCCAATTGCCCATGCATGACTCTAACAATAAGACATTTTGAACATTCCTATTGGTTGACTTGAGAAAAATACAATACACACGTGACGATGAAAGACCACATTTTTGCATAAACCTGAACAACATAGATAATGAGGTTTATTGTGATTTTATTGTAATGCTAACGAGTTTCCAAACCATCTCCTCTATTAACTATGGTCATTGAGATCGAAGAAACACTCTAATTTACATGCTATATTGAAAAGCACCTTCAAAAGGTCTAAAGCTGAAAAGTTTTCCTTCAGAATGTAAAGTTGAGGCTGTCAACTATATGCAGATCATAGGTCTCCCGAAAAGGTTTTTATTTAAAACAAATCTCATAAAATTGCGTTAAATACAATGCTTATATTCTTGCTTGATTAATTTACACTAAGACCTCTATAATTCGTATTACATGAAGTACATCTTACACAGTGCATGCCTTTTATCATTATGCATATTATTTTCCCAAGGTTGGCAAGAAAATACCGATCTAGCACTGTATATACAACAACTAAATGACGAAAAACTTGTACATAAACTCGAAACTCGTTAAAAACATAATAGTCAGACATACCTTTAACATTCCTACATTGAATTTTTTTGTTTTTTCACCACATTAAATCGAGTAAATTTTGCCGAAATGCATAAATTATTTTACTCAATTTAATCAATTTTTTTCAAATTATGCGGGATGACAGCTGCCGTCCCGACGTCACAAAATAAAGCTCTCTGATTGGCAAGATTTCAGTCAGCTTTAGCCATCCAATCAAAGAGCTTTATCTTGTGACATCGGGCTGTAACCGTCACCCCGCACATATTTGTTTTGCCAACTTTGGAGAAATAATATACATAATGATGCAACGCTACCTTTTCGGGAAACCTATATGTGCAGATTAGACTTCATTAACTTTTATTAGTGTACTGTCATATAAATCGGTTAATGCTTAAGCCCTTCAATATACTTTCACTGCCTCGATCAGAATAATGTTTTCAAATGTAGGTTAAAGATTCAAGTTGAGGACCGACTAAAAGTTTTAAACTCAGACGTAAAAGAACGAGTACCCACGAGACCACCACCACCAATTCAAAGGGCACCCGCGAGACCACCACCACCAATTCATGTAAACTCTCAAAAGAGGGTTCCTCATAGTTATATTCCAGTCGAGGTCAACAATGATCAACCAAATGTACAGAGTTGGGAAGATGCAAGGGAATTATTTTCTGTTATGAATCGTATGTGCAAGTCTGCAATACACTAGTTTTGGTGACCATAGGAGAACTCTGTTGAGTGTCCTCAACAGAGTTCTTGAACGCACTAAATACCTGTGTTCAAATTAGCTACTTTGATTTCTGCACGTTTGTCATAAATACTTCTCATCTTGTGTCACGCGAATCTTGTCATGTTTATTCCTCTCCTCCCGTTACCAAAGTAAACGTTAATCCGCGGACGCAAAACCTGTTGTTGACCCTGTTCCTAATCTCAGAAAATGAAAGAATACCGACTGACGCATTTAGAGATTAATAGTGATTTTCGCATTTAGAGATTAGTAGTAGGAATTTCGTAATGTGCTTCAACAGAATCGCCTCAATCGGGCTTCTGAGTAGTCTATGTATATATTTAGTCATCCCTCACCTCGACCTCTCTCATTCTTTTTTTATCACCTTACTAATTTTTTCTTTATATTTTTATTTCACTATTCACTCGCATAAGTTCTTCCTGTACTGTCTCAACCGTCTATTCGTTAATGGTCTCTTCCTCCACTGCTCTTTCTTTTCAACACTTTTTTATCGGCTCTATTTCTACCATTTTTTGTGGCATCTCCTTTACCATGTCTTTCAATACCTCTTATTTTAACATCTATCTTTCTACCACATTTAACTGCCATCATTTTTATTCCCCATCTCTTTCTGTATCTCTCCAGTAATTATTTCATTCTTTTTGACCCTCCACCATCTTTTCCACAACCATCTTTTTTAATACCACCATCGCTTTTTTTTCAATATATTTTCAACTATATACAGTATATCTTATTGGCTTCACCAAATCTTTCGTCCATACGTCTTTCTGTATCTCCTCAGTTACTTTTATTACTTATCCTTTTCTCTTTGGTTTTCTCCACTATTTCCCTTTCGAAAGAACAATTTTTGAACAATTTCGTAAGAACAATTTGTTAGCCTGAGGACGGATAGTAAACTATCCGAAACGTAGCTAAAATAAAAGTATTATCAAAAACCTCTTGTGTGATCCTTGATTTAAATTAAAAACACAAAATTATTTATTTCCCTTTCTTTTCACAAACTCGTCTTCCCTTTCACTATTTCTTCCTACACCAACTAGTTCAATATCTCTTCATTTACCATCTATTTCTCTCTGATGTTTTCTCCCACCATGTTTACCTCTATCAACCATCTATAATATTTTCGTCACAGAACCTTTCCCTATGACTTCATAATGACCCGTTTCCTAACGCCACTTTTGCAACATCTTCCTCCACTCACACTTCGTCCTCTACCACCTTATCTACCACCACCATATGTTTCTGTTCCTTATGCTCCCATGTTTCCTTATTCGACCTTCCCAACTCCATCTGATCCAAGTAACCCCCCCCCCCCCCCCCCTCCATAGATATCCCATTCGCACGGTCCTAACTTATTTCTGACGCTATGTGGCCATAACCCTTCTTAACGTCAAGTGTGCCTGCACCTACTGTATTTCGTTTGTTTTTTGTCGTCCATCGTTAATCTTTTCCGACTTCTCCATCATGTAGAACATTACTGTTACCACCATTTCTTATTGCCCCCTCGTTTGTCTGGACCTTTTAGTACATCTTTTAATAACTGTTTCATTTACATCTGACTTGTTTTTCTCCCTTTTTCTATCACTAAAATTGAGTTCAATCTAAAATTTGCATGTTGTGTAAAACAGTGTAAAACATTTAAATGTAAGTTATGATAATCAGAAATATTGATATTACATCTCTTTTTCTTATAAGATGTGAACATGTTTTTTGTATCAAAAGAAGGCGATGTAACAACTCTGTATCAGCCTCAAACTCTTCGTGCATTGCAACTGGTAAATGACTCTTCAGGTGTGTAATCAGGAATGTTTTAGGCTTCTAGCTTTAATTCCTTACTGCTTTCTTGTTGTTACAGTACCTTGAACGAGAGAATAACACAGTTAATAGTCGTACAGTATAACCCTATGCATTACATTTTACTTAAATTGTAACTGGTAAGAAGTTTAATCAGCTCCAAAAGTGTTCTTCTGTCACCGTTTTTGATCGTTTTTAGTAAATCGAGGCACAATACAACCATTGGAATTCAACTCTTTGAAATTTACGGATAGTGTAGTTGAATAGTTCAGTTAAATCATCCCTGATATTACAAAGGATTTTCTGCCTGTGCCATGATGAAATAGTTAGTTTTGTACAATTTAAAATGTTTATTAAATCGGTTGCCATGTCAGCATATATTGTACAAGTGCACAGTAAAATCTAATTGGCGATAATACCCATATGTTGTGAGACTAAGCCAAGAATTAGAACAATATCGTACCCAGAACCATCATGGTACAAGATTGCAACAAAAAGGGATAACCTCCGTTATAGGTCTTATAGTCATACTGCGGTAATTCTGTCTATTTTAAGTCGTCTCAACTTTTTAGATTCGAGCAATCCATCAGTATTTCTACAATGTGGATCGTGGGTATTTCCATTGGTCCCAGGACGTTCGCCAGTGTTAAAAACCGAAGACAGAACGTTTATGATTCCCGATATAAATCTGGACAGTGAACAATCTGATTCATCGCATTTGGCTGAAGGAAAGTTCCCAACAGTGGGGCTAGTTTTCTCTCCAGACACAAGCGAGGATCAAATTAAGCGATTTGAAAGAATTTTAAAGTGCTATTCAGATTATAGACATTATACCCCTGCATATAGTCAGGAAAATGATACTGCAGAACCATCAGCTATTATTCCAACAGCACCACCTGCAGAGCAGCCTAAGACACAAACATCATTAGTTCCAGTGAATGATGAAGCTGTTGCGCCGTCCAGTGAAGAAGTACAGGTGGTATACAATATACGTTTCAGTTGGCATATTCAGCTGTAACATTTAAACTTCCTGTTCAAAGTTTTCAACTATTCTATCTATTTTGGCCGATTCCATTAGGTCAGTTTGTATTTTGAACTGCGTACCCCCCAATGACGTGTTCTATAAGTCGGAATAAAATTACATTTTAACCAGTTATTGAAAATTCAAACTTCATTTGTGTTTTACGTATAGTCAAAATATAGACATGCAATTTGGATTGAGTAAGCTGAAGGTTGCTTGAAATATTAGCCGTCATGGGGTTGGTTTGGTTCAATTTAGCAAAATATTCCTTTAATGACCTTATTCTGCATTTACACATCTAGAGGACAAAATATGTTTGATATATAAAGATATAACAGCTCTATTCTGGCTTTATACATGTAAACATGAATGAATGAATGAATGGATATAGTTGACTACTTTGACACCCATATATTTAAATCATCCAGTTTCAGCCACATTATCATTCTATCTGACCGTTCAAGATTCTCTCCTATCATTCAACTGCATGCAATGATACCCTGATTCGAAACTTTTTCTGTTACTTCGTGGTGTTGTGTTGTGTTGTGTTGTGTTGTGTTGTGTTGTGTTGTGTTGTGTTGTGTTGTGTAAATCGTCTTGTATATGTTCAGTACTGGCCTATTTGTCTTTTCTTCTACAGTATATGTTAATATGTACAGTATATGTTTTATCAAAACTTACACTATTGCTCTAATCTTGAACCGAGTCGTGTATCGACAGATTGCATTTTTTGTATTTATCCTTCTGTAATGACCTTATGTAATAATCACATAATAACCTTAATATTAATATTTTTCAGAGCACGACCTGGGGAGTCAAGGTTTCCAGGGTAAATATATATTTTAATCTTTTTTTTAAAAAAGAAAATTAATTATAACATGGGTTGCTTTCTTTGTACACAGGGAATTGAAGTTGGTGCTGTTCTTATTTCATGGGGTTTGAGTAAAGGTGCAGAGCTTGGTGGAAATCTAATTAATCAGGTAAATGCATTGTTATAATTAGTGTTGTTTATTCTTCGTTAAAACCACCTTGACTATTTGCAATTAATATTTATCTCATTTTCCATACAGTATATGTGTTTATTTTACCACAGGGATCGGAAAAACTACGTGGGAAAATAAAACCCAATGAAGAGTCTGCACAAATTGATCCAAAAATCGAAGATAACGTACGACAAATCAAGACAGCTACAGGTAAGCGGACCATATGTACTGTACATTGTAGTTGAAACGCTATTGTTCGCTCATAATAATACCATTAAATGAGTTTAAAACGTACAATTAAACAAAAAGTTGTACAGAACGAATTTTTATCTCAATTAATGTACAGTATCTAAGGCTATACCTTTACACGAACCAGGGCTGATTTTCAACCCGGGTTGAAAGACTTCATGGGGTTTGTTTTCCACGATCAACCTTATTTAAGCCAAATTTGTGTACTTGTCCTAAAGCGATTTACGTTTCACATTTAACATATCAATTGTTGCTTTTATGAATATTAGAGCTTCTGGAGACAAAGGAAGATAATTATTTTCATGATTATAATACCGGGTGTCCCAAAAAAAAGTACTCCGGTTTGATTTATAATAACTTCTAAACAAATAAAGCTATCAAACAGAAATAACTTGCATTAATTAGAGAAAGGACTAACTTAGATTTTGATATATTACAGTTGTATTTTACTTAAAAATTCATATTAATGTTCCAAATTGGGAGCATATTTTGGGATGTGTCTAAAATTAGCGAAAATCGGCATATCAAATATTAACTCCAGCGTTTGTTTGCTTAATGAGATATCAGGCTAACTTGTATTTCAGCGAATTGTCGTTAGGGTTTCTAAGGCATATGACGTAGATTTAGAAATCTTACATGTAAGTCTTAGCTCATTGTTTCCTGAAATATGAACGTTCGAAATTATGAAAGTATTTAATAGGTCTTTACAAACTTAAAGGTACATGAAAGTCATGCAAGGCAGGCGCTTAAATTTTTCTTAGATAGCCTAATGTTTTTATGTTTTTCGTGGGTTCAAAACAGACTTGATTATTTCTCGGTTAGAGCAGGATGAATATTATTCTTTAATGAAGGAAATAATATTGGTTTTTGCAAATACACATCACAGTATTAACGCTACTATTTTGTTACATTTTGTTCCAAAAATGTTGGATGTCTCTGGGGAGTTGCTTGTTATGTCCTATGGAGTTGTATGGTTTGATTGTGTTTCATTCTCGGTTTATTCTGAACTTGCCAAGATTAAGAAAAGGCAAAAGAGTTTGGGTGTTCTTAACAAGATTTCAGAACGTTGCAGAAGTTAGAAGAGCTTCACAATTCCATTGTTACAGCATACCCTAATTCAGAACTACGAACGATCCATGACGATCCTTCGCGATGCAGTGGTCTCGTGAAATAAGGAAACGTATTCGTGCTAGGAACACACGCGGATTTCGGACAAATAAAATCTTGCTTGTTTTGCAGATAATAATACAGACTTTGTTTCATAATAAACAATTTGTCAAGTGTCATTTATTTACTGGTGATAGTGCATGTTTCAGTCGGGCAAATCTTGATTAATATTTGATACGCCGTTTTTTGCATATTTCAGACACATCCAGAAATATGCTCCCGATTTTAAACATTAATATCTCCGTGAATTTTTAACTGAAATACAACTGTAATAATATATCGAAATCTAAGTTAGTCCTTCCTCTACTTGATGCAGGTTTTTTCTCTTTAAAAGCTTTACTTGTTTATAAGTTACTACGAATCAAACCGGAGTACTTTTTTTTGGGACACCCGGTGTATCTGTCAATTATTGGACATGTCCATATTTGTGGACGTTAAATTTTGTCAAAAGACATTTGAACGTGCATCTGCATTGACCATCATGACCGTTTACACGAGCCCAATGAAGTCCCACGTGTTAATGGGCCATTCGCAATTAAATAAATTTAATTTGTTCATATTAGTTAAATCACGACACATGCAGAGGGGTTGTAAAAACGGAAAAGATTCATTAGCACAGACCTCTCGGTATTTAGAGTTTAGCATAGTAGGCACGAAATATTACAGTAAAGGGGTATACAAAATTTGGTTGCCTGCCATGGGCTTAGCCAGAGCTAGGCCCGTTCACCCGTCATTTGGGCGTGTATTTTTTAATGTGGACGGGCAAAAAAGCTCCAGTATTTTGTCTTTAGTAATTAATACAACCATACAAGCTTAAATTTTGCTATCACAAGCAAATAAGTTACAAATCTTTATATATATTAGCGAAATATTTAGTGTTTTAAGTCGATTTTAACAAAAAACATCGGTGATTATGTTCGTGAGGTCAACCATGCTGTTTGCTTTTCAGTTTTGAGTGCAATTTTACACGTGTTCTTTTGACTGCTAAAAATCACGTTTTTAGAAGATAAAGACCTAATTTCAAATTTATTCCAAGGGAAACGTTTTGGACGGGTAGATTGATAATCCTTGTTAGGTCCCTGTTGCTTGCAGCATCTTCCCATGCATCTATATATATTTGTTTCCGTGTCCGCCACTAATAGTGTTTATATAATTTAATTAGTTCAATTAATCTATCATAAATATTATTATTTATTTGAAGGTGTTGCATGTCAGGTATCGTCAGCTATCGTCTCTGCAGTTTCAGCTTTAACATATCAACTTGGAAAAGAACTAGCTCCCATTATTGTTGAACAAGGATCTAAGGTTTACTATTATTATTACTATTATTATTATTATAATTATTATTATTGATGAATATTTTAACAGGATAAAAACGTCAGTTATGTAAAAACTAAATAATTAATTATACAAAAACTGCTATCAATGTTTGTCCTGTAAAGTCTCAAGAATAACAAAAATAGGTAGATCAATAAATAGAGCCTAAAAATTACATAATTATATAAGAATGGACAAATAGGATAAAATATCTTAGAAATATAATATTTCAGTACAAAGTTAAAATGTCTTGAAAGATAAACTATTTCAAAATCATTGATCTTCGTGTTGTTGTTGGTAATGAATTAAACAGTTTTGCTCCACCGAAGTAGAAGCTCTGCTTAGCTAGTTCCAGCCAAGAATTGCTAAAGATACTCGAGTGTGAATTTGAGCTCGACATTTCAGGTTTTTCACAAAAATATAGTCGTTTTTTTCACTTGCCTACCCAAATTGTAATACAATTTCCTATTGTGAAATTAATACAACGTGTTCGGTGTTCCTCCGACCCAGTCTCCTCTGTGCGCTACTTTTTTTTCAAAATTGGCACTTTGAGCCGTTATATCTCAGAAACTAGAAGTTTAAACCAAAATCTAATCTAGAACTTCTATTGTAACTTTTTACGCTCTATCCGAATCATGCAAAACCCATTTTGGGTTTATAGGCACTTTAATTCGTGACAGTTTAATAGAAATGCTGTTGTTTCTCGTTTCTTTCTCATGACTAACTGTATAATAGGTATATTATTGTACATATTCAGTTCACTCCCCATTGGGGCTCTTCAGTGAGCGATTACATCAAGTGTCATATACTCTTACTTATCTTACTTAGTAATTAGCCTAGAATATTTATCTTTACAACAATTGTGATATTTCTATATCCTAACTATGTTTATCCTAACCTACCCTGCCCTGCCAACTTGCACTACATTTGTTAATTTAATATTAGGCGTGTCTGGTTATTTGTTTCCTGCTTCCACAATCTGCGAAACAAAATGTTTTCTTTACCCATATTTAGAACTCACTGATTAGATTTGTTTATTGTTAGCTACTGCCGCAATCAGCAAAACAAAATATAAACAGCGATGGAAAAGGTCATATTCAAGAAGTTATGAAGGTTGCTGTTGTCGGAATACAAGGTACTATGAGATCAATTTGATTGTGTTAAGTATATTGCTGGTTACATGGGAATTCAAAACATTGCTATTGGTATAAGTTTGGTAATACACACAACCATGGCCGAATATACATTGCATTAACCAGGGCCGTCCCGAGCAGTATCTGGTTGGAGGGGGGGGGGATTCAAAAATTGTGGCCCCCTTCCTTTCGGGGGAAGGAGAAAAGTACTTTTTTGACCTCCATTTTTCAGAAAATTCCTTAATATTTAACACGTTATGCAATTCCCCCAAGTAGTTTCGGCCCTGGCATTAACCTAGACAAAAGCGTACTGTAGTTATTTATACATATATTTCCATTAAGTTGCCCAATGTGTTTTGCACTTTCTAAACTAAGTTCCTAAGTTGTCTAATTTCGTTGCTTATTTTGAGGTGTACATGTCACGATTTTTTTCTACCTGTAGTCTTAGTTCGTTCTTTTATGTTATAGGGCTTGCAGTTGTTCATGAAGGGTTAACGGATGCTTGGAAAATTTTGTACTCCAGTCTGTCTCAAGCCACAGTCACAACAGTCGATCATAAGTACGGTTTTGGGCTTTTTTTTATATACACCTGGTATATAAAAGAAACATGAATGCATTTGTGTTGCGCTTTTTTCAAATAATTTTCATTTGGATCAATTCCAATATATACGATTAATAATACGATTTTTTCCGAATAAATCTTAGAGTTTTTAAACTTGTTTTCAGGTATGGAGAACAAGCTGGAAGAATAACTGGTGATGCAATGGGAGCTGTTGGCAATGCAGTTGAGGTGCGCTCTCAGGGGGCCCCACTATGAGTTATGATTGAAATAATATTGTATTTATTTTTAAAAACCTACTTGAATCCCTTGATAATCGATTATTTTTTCTCTCGAAATTCTGTAAATATTTTAAACTGCTTGGAGTCATTATACTCTCACTCTACATGACGTTTCACGAAGTATAGATGATCGCTGACAAGTAAGGACCGCGGGCGCGAAAAGACGAAGGCGGCGAAAGAAGGGAGAATTAAACTAAAGGGTTGAAACTTCGGCGGGTCATCGTTTGATGTGTTCCATAAGTAGGTTGTTCTCCGGCAATTTCGCACGGAGCCCCAATGTGAGTTAGGGTTGAAATAATATTCAACAACTGGCTTTGTCTAACACTGAAATTGATCTACAGTAGGCGTCGTTATGAATTCCAACCTAACCTGGATCAATCAAGTAAACAGGGTGCGATCTAAAGCTAATAAATGTACCTTTACTTACAACTGGTCCGCAACAATTTTGCGTATGCGTCTCAAGTATGGTCTCCACAAACAATCAAATTAATCGAGAAGGTACAGAGAAGGGCGACAAAATACATTTTAAATCTCGGTTTTATCACCAACGTTCCATATACAACAAGACTACTTCAACTCGACTTACTTCCTTTAACTTATTGGCACGAATATTTGGATTTAGTTCTACTCTACAAAATAATCAATGGCTACACATATATCGATGACAGTGCTCGACCAACAATGGCTGGTTCTGGAATAACGAGGAGCGAAACAAATGAGAACGTATATAAATTTTCAATACCATTTGCCAGTACAGTTACCTTCCAGACTTCTTATTTCATTAGAGCATGTAAAACATGGAACATTTTGGGCTGTGATCTTCGTCACAGAGATATTGGTCTGAATACCTTTAAATCAAAACTTAAGACATATTACGAACACGCGCTATCCAAAATATACAATTGTGACGATCCACGCACATGGAAGTCGATATGTGTTAAAAGTAGAAGGGCGAGGTCCCTGGACGGTGTTTTAAGATGTTGCTAGTTGCATGCATGTATGTTATGTTTTGTTGTATGTTATGTTTCGTTAAGCGTATTGTCAGTTGTCTGTTATTAGATTATTCAATACTAATATTAACGTGATTTAGATGTAATTATTAAGGACTCGCCGTAATTGGGGGGACACTGTGGCGAGTATCCTGGCACTACATTGTTATAATATAAATTTAGTAGTTGTCGAACATTATTAAATCATTAAATCAATATTGTATTTATTTTTAAAAACGTGCTTGAATCCCCTTGATCATCCATTATTTCTTCTCTCGAAGTTCTGTAAACCTTTTAAACGGCTCGGACTCATTATACTTGACGTCACGAGAACAACCTACTTATGGAACACATTGTGCGAAAAAACCCTTCGAGTGTTTCATGTAAAAACATACGAAAAATCAATCGTTTATTGAATCTACTACATCAGTTGTGATGATATGTCCAAAAAGACATAGAATCTGAAAAAAAATATTCGAAAACACAAAGAAATTGTGAATTTTAAGGCATTTAGAAATGTCATGTAGTCGATGTTTCAACCCTTTAGTTTAATTCTCCCTTCTTTCGCCGCCTTCATCTTTTCGCGCCCGCGATCCTTACTTGTCAGCGATCATCTATACTTCATGTAGAGTGATAGTATAATGATTCAAGCAGTTTAAAATGTTTACAGAATTTTGAGAGAAGAAATAATCGATTATCAAGGGATTCAAGTAGGTTTTTAAAAATAAATACAATATTATTTCAATCATAACTCATAGTGGGGCCCCCTGTGGTGCGCTAGGTGTTTCTTATGCTTTTAAATTTAATTGATTGTTAATAATTAAATTAGGCCTGGATGACGAAGGCTACGGTTATAGCGCCCCTATATACCGGATATAGTTAGTATTTCAACCTTTGTAAAGTGGCTTAACAACTGTGAAACAGTGATGTTTTCCAGGGGGAACGCGGGGGAACGCCGTCCCCCCACCTTTTTTACCAGGGGAACGGCATCCCCCTTGCCAAAATCAAACATGGGCGAACGCCGTTCCCCCTGGCAGGGATTAAATATTAGCGAAGTTCAGTGAACGCCGTTCGACACCGTCCAAATAATTTTGGCTATCACTTGTTCTACATACGTGTTATTTGCCGAAATTTCTAGCAGACTAGGGAAGGCATAAATTT